TTTATCACATCTTTAAAAATATTTTTTGGTAAAATATATTTTGTAAAATATATTTTGTATATTACAAATTACAATTGTGTGTATTTTATTAAAATAATAATTGTTAAATATCTTCAAGTGAAAGTGAAAGAGTTACATTTTTAATTTTTAAATGTTTTTTATTTGTGTTTCTTTGATTATACTTTTGTATTTATTGAGATATATAAGTATATAAGATGATACGTTTAAACATTCTGTTGAAAATAGGCCCTGCATAATTAAAATATCGTTTACACATAAATAAAACATACATAATTACACGTTTACATTTAATTGGATATAATATTTTTAATATCGAAGTGTGAGCTATAGAAAAATTAAATTTTATATTATGCGTAATTTTTCACTCCTAATTAGTGTAATCTACACTAATTTACACTTTCTATCAAAATTAATTCTATCATTCTATCAAAGATTAATTTAAACCACAAAATTAGAAAATAATTCTCAAGTTTTTATATACATATATGTATATGTTTCTTATTTAACGATGATTTTTTTTATTTGCTGCTTTTTAATTTAATTTTGTGTAGCAAAAATAAATGCTGTATGAGATCTTGACATTCGTCGTATAATCAATATTCTTATGTATATTTTTGAAAATTATAAATAATTGAAAAACAATCAATTATAAGATTGCGACCGAAAAATATATCAGCGTTTACGTTTGTTTTCGAATTCGTCACTCGTGCTGAATCATTGGATTCACTGTCATCCCATCGTGTCGGTCGACAGAATATTTCTACCGTTTTTGAGGCCGTTCTTGCTGTACATAATTTTTGTTATCATTTGTCTTGTATTTTCTCGCCAAGTCCAAATCTCGTTATCGTAACTAACACGATACGTGGAGCTATTTACAAAACGAAACACTTAACAACTGCGCCTGCGTTTAGTTTATTGCGAGCTAATTATCGAGCCGTCCATTTTTGTTTCTTCATTCTAACGCAATTAATGGGCATCTGTTTATATAACACACGCATTCTCTCATCACTAGCCTACACGTTCGCACGAACTTTCACATCATCAAATTTCAGAAGAGTTACTTTTGAGGAAATCTTTTTTGAGCTCTAAATTAATCATTTAACTGAAATTTCACTTCAAGTAATGGTGCACATCTTGAAGTCGCACGTTTCATTCTGCTAATCAATTGTAACTAATGGTATTCAGAAACAATGAATGTAACACACGACATATTCTCTTTTTTTAATTTAATTTTTTAAAATCTATTTAGTAAATCAAATGTATTAAAATTTTTTATATACATTTAATGTAATATTCCGGTATATATGCTATTAATATTTTTATCAGGTTCATTTAATGACAAAAATTTTATATTTAATTTAAGAAAAAATATAAGAAACTTTTGTATTCTTTTTTTTATAAATATATGTATAATATCAAATGTATACAAATGTATACAAATGTATACAAATGTGTTCCATAACACAATATTACAATGCATTTGAAATAAAAAAAGGGATTATTTTTTAATTAGAATATTTAAATATATATTTTAGTAATGTAGATGTGACACGTGGATTTTATAATATTAAATTTTTTAGTTAACTTGAATTAGCGTAGCAAACATGCGACTTGCTCTTGTACACCTTTTTTAGAGATATGATGGTAAAAGTGAGTGTCCAAACATAATCAGATAGTCGTAAAGATGTAAAGATTTCCTTGTATAGCTATAAATAATATTTTTCTATAAATAAGAAATAGAATAGAAAAATTTGAGACAGATCTTGTGACAAGGGAAACTGTTATAATATTGCAAAATAATATGTATCTAATTAAATTTAAACGTAATCATTTATATAAAACTACAACGTATAAAAGAAGAACAAATTGATAAATTTATATAGAAAATAGATATAGTAGAATATAATAGAGGACACAATATCTTTTACATAGAAGCTGAAAAAATTGTCAAAGCTTTAATTTATATTATCTGTATTTATATACAGGATGATTCATTTATGAATAAGTTTATTCATATTAATTACTTCCTTAATCTAAATGCTTTGAATTAGGACAAAATGATTTTGTTTTAAGAAATCTGCATTGTAATCCTATCTGTATATCTATGTAATGATTCACCCTGTATATATCGGGAATTATATCAGTCGTATATATTAAAAAACCATAGGATATATACTAGAAATATAATAAATATTGAGTATTCCTATTTTCCTATTATTTGAAAGGGACAGGAGAATTATAAAACCCAAATATTTTTTATAAATTTCTAAAATGTCGATAAAGGTAAAATTGACATTAGTTCAATATTCATTAAGCTTATTAAGCTCATGATTGTGAGAATATACATCAAGTAAAAAAGTTAATATTAAATTGAAAAATTGCCAACTTATATGTGAACTTTATTTTGACATTTACTTTGGCAAATAAATAAATATAATTTGTGGATGTAATGGAAAAAAAGGAAAAGAGAAAGAATGAAGATTATAATAATTAAAAGAAATAATTGTTGATTGATATCATGCATTATAGTATCATTGAAATTAATCATTTGAAATTTAAAATAAACAGCGTTTCTTTGATATTTTTAAGAAATAATTCTACTTGTTAAGATTATTAACAATGAGCGTCTTTAAGAAATCAATACAACGAAAAAAAAAATGCTACATTTAAAATGAGTAATTCAAGTTAAACGAAGTTGCATCTTTATCAATATATGCACGGTGAGTCTAGGCGCGAGTTCTAGTAACAGTTTCTTACTCTTAAAAGTATCTAATGTTAAAGAGTAGAAAAATTATAAAAGTACGAAGGTCTATAATCGTTAACATGAGAGAGATTCCGTGCGACCGCTCCACTGCCTTCTTCTCGTCTTTTCCTAGCTTTGGAAAATATCTAATAGTATAAAATATTATTTTTAAATAAAGCACTATTTTTTAATTAAAACTATTGATCACAATGTAACTATTGGTTACGATGTAACTATTTACTAAAATTGTTTGATTATAAATAGCTTCTTTCAATATTCGATACTATAATTAATAGAATCTTCCTTTATTTTAGATTTATTATTTAAATTTTTTTTAAATCGGGAGAGTACAAAATCTTGTATAACGCATAATGCATAAGAATATGAACTAATAAGAATCCTTCATTTTCTTTCCTTTCCATGAAAAAAAAGATTTTGAAAAGTTAATTTTTTTATGTTTTTATATATTATGCAATTATATATTATACGTTATGCAAAAGTATATGCTCTGACCTTTAAACTCTTCAAGCAAAAATGTTATTAGAATTTAAATCTCATAAAAATTTTATGACATAATATCTGTATAAATACATTATAAAAATAATGAAGATGTAATAATTTTATTTGAGTTGTAGAAGTGTGCGTCTTTTTGTTTTTAATATTTATTAGTTGAAAAGAAAGCAGTATCATATATTCTATTAAATTAGAATAATTTTTTTGATAAGTTTAACCGAGATAATAATTTCTATTATAATTATGAGTACAACTTTTTTAAAATCAATAAATATACTTTTTTTTTACATTAATGTGTTTTCTTCTGGCGTTATTTTTTCTAGACATTCTTTAATTAAAATTATTTTTAATATTTGATTTTGGCTAGAGATCTAGAACTAAAAAAGAACTAAAAAAGAGAAATTTGAAACAAGGAAATCAGCAGATTTTACTTTAATACATTCAGGTTCTTTGCGGCGTCGCACGGAAACATTTCTAAAAAGGAGTCAGTATAGGGAAGATAGATAGAGAGGAAAATGGGTTGATGGGGGTAGTGAGAGAGTGTATATTTTTCTAAACGATGATGGAAGAAGTGCAGCAGAAAGGCACCGAGAAAAGGTTTACGTGATTGTACGAACGTTAGATGCTAAAATCAATCGACACGGACTCATTCTTGTACAATCTCTAAAAAGTCTCGCACTCGTCCTATATATATATATATATATATA